CTGGAGGTTCCTCGGAAGGACTTTCCCAACCTTGACAACCTCAATGAGGAGAGCATTCTCTTCTGACTCACAAGTTTGCCGAAAGAGGACGGTGGGCGAGGGGGACACTGCGGTTGGCCAGACCCTGCTGGCGTGGGGCGGACCGAGGGCCCCATGGCCTGGTGGCAGGGTAGGAGACGGGCATCCCTGGACCCAGGTCCTGGTGCAGGAGGCCCAGGCCTCGCAGGCCCGCAGCCCTGCCCACTCCTACCGAGCAGCACCTGCATTGGGCAGAGCCGTCCAGATGGGCTGACCACAGATGAGGGTCTCCAGGCACTTCCTCACCTCTGCTGCCTCCCTGATACCAAACACGCCGAGAAAACTGGGCCACCGGCGTTTGATTGGAAACACCACTGGGTTTCCACACTGGCTTCATTATGTTGAAACTAACACCCATCAAGCTGGGTTACATGTGAAGCTTTAAGGGACAAAGCTTTTCACCGGGTACATTTCTACAGGTAACTGCCCAGCCTCATGACCGGAAAATGCAGGGTATCCACCTCTCAACTGTGCCTCCTGACGGTCCCCACGAGGCCACACACAACCAGCCTGTGCACGCCCGCGAGGGCAAGGGGCACGCAGAGCAGGGTCTGTGGATGCATCGGAGCCGCTGCCCTGCTGGTTCTTGTTCCTCCCGTTACTAGGACCCTCAGCAAGCCTAGCTCTGCCCCAGGGGATAAGCTGGGCCCAAGGAGCTGGCACGGGACGGCCTCATCCTGCCCAGCTTTCCCAGGGCCTACCCAGCCCTCGGCAGCTGAGACCAAGAATGGGCCTGTTTGGGACTTTAAACAAGCAGGTTTTTTTTTTTCTTTTGAGCCAGAGTCTCATTCTGTCACCCAGGCTGGAGTGCAGTGGCGCAATCTCGGCTCACTGCAACCTCCGCCTCCCAGATTCAAGCCATTCTCCTGCCTCAGCTTCCCGAGTAGCTGGTATTACAGGCACCTGCCACCACGCCCAGCTAATTTCTGTATTTTTAGTAGAGACGGGGTTTCACCACCTTGGCCAGGCTGATCTCAAACTCCTGACCTCAGGTGATCTGCCTACATTGGCTTCTCAAAATGCTCGGATTACAGGTGTGAGCCACCGCACCTGGCCGGTAAATGGGTTTTTAAAGCTAGGCACGTATACAGGTTGTATTTTCTCTAAATTTCATTGCAAGAAAGCAAAGGAAGGATTTAGAGGAGCTCTGTTATAAACAGAGGGCTGAAATGCCTGGCCCCACCCAGGCCCCGGTGCCAGGCTCGGTGCCACAAGGCTGCACAGACTCACGGCACCAGCAATGCCCTGGGCGGGCAGCCTGGCAACAGAAGCCCAACATGGCACTTCTACCCGGGACAGGAGCCGCCCACATCAGACACTCCAGAACCGTGGGCCCCAGCACCTGGGGTGTTGTTGGGGCCATTCTCAATACCACCAGCTCCACCTGAACCCGAGTGAGGCTGCCACGAAGCAGAGGTCCCACAGCAGGAGCCACTGTGGATAGGGGGGCCGCAATCCACAGGGCAGGCGCTGGAAACAAGCAGGCAACCCGCACCACAGGCGACTCCATGGGAGGTCCACGAATCCGAGGGAGGTCCACGAGGCCAATTTCACCTCAGGTCCCAATCACAAGACGGGCAGCTGTGTCTCATCCGCTCGACAGACCCCCAACCCCTCTGGGGCCGTCACAGCTTTGGGTCCCCAGACGGGCAAGGAAATCGACCTCTCAGGAGCAGAAGCCCACAGGGAGACGCGGAGCACCTGGGGGCCGTCCTCTCCCCGCCCTCAAACCCAAGAGCAACACGGGAAGCAGGTCAGACACAGAGGAAGGCCCTCGAGGTCACCGACTCCTGCCCCCTTTCCAGGCGTGGCAAAGGCACAGGACATAACCAAAATGAACACGGCTGTGCTGACAGCTACCAAGAGGCTTTTCTTTTTTTGAGCTAGGGTCTTGCTCTGTCGCCCAGGCTGGAGTGCAGTGGCACGATCTCAATGCACTGCAGCCTCTATCTCCCAGGCACGAGCAATCCTCCCATCTCAGCCTCCTAAGTAGCTGAGACTACAGGCATGCACCACCACATGGGGCAAATGTTTTGTATTTTTTTGTAGAGAGCGGTGTCTCACTATGTTGCCCAGACTGGTCTCAAACTCCTGAGCTCAAGCGATCCACCCACCTTGGTCTCCTGAAGTTCTGGGATTACAGGTGTACACCACCACACCTGGCCCCAGTAGGCTTTTCTTTTCTCAGGGATCTCCTGAGACAGGGTCTTGCTCTGTCACCCAGGCTGGAGGGCAGCATCCGGATCATGGTTTACTGCAGCCTGGACCTCCTGGGCTCCGGTGATCCCTGCCTCAGCTGCCCGAGTAGCTGAGACTACAGCTGCATGCCACCTTGCCCTGCTGATTTTTGTTTTTTTTTTTTTTTTTTTTTTGACGGAGTTTCGCTCTTGTTACCCAGGCTGGAGTGCAATGGCGCGATCTCGGCTCACCGCAACCTCCGCCTCCTGGGTTCGGGCAATTCTCCTGCCTCAGCCTCCTGAGTAGCTGGGATTACAGGCACGTGCCACCATGCCCAGCTAATTTTTTGTATTTTAAGTAGAGACGGGGTTTCACCACGTTGACCACGATGGTCTCGATCTCTTGACCTCGTGATCCACCCGCCTCGGCCTCCCAAAGTGCTGGGATTACAGGCGCGAGCCACCGCGCCCGACCTGTATTTTTTTTTTAATAGAAACAGGGTCTCACTGTTGCCCAGGCTAGTCTCAAACCCCTGGGCTCAAGTGATTCTCCTGCTGATCCTCGGCCTCCCAACATGCTGGGACTCCAGGCATGAGCCACCATGCGCCCAGCCTTCCGAAACATCTTAACAGGAAAGATGCATGAGCTCATGTGAGGCCCGCCGCCAGGGCGACTCCCTTACCTGCACCCACACCTGCCCAGGGCTGGGATGTACCGGGGTCAGCCCAGCCCCCCTGGGACATTCTCAGCTGGGGACTTTCCTCTGTGTGGAAACACAGAGCCCTAAGCGCCCTGTCCAAGGCTGTGTTTTCAGCTGAAGGTGCGCAGGAAGGCTGCAGGGCCCAGCTCACAGCTTCAGGAAGGGCAATTTCACACCCAGCAACACAGGAAAGCAAACAGGTATGAGGCTCACAAACCATGTACTTTGAACCCACAGAATAAAAGATTTAGTTGCCATTTAAAAAACAAAACACAGACTTAGGGTAGTGGCTCACACCTGTAACCCCAGCACCTTGGGAGGGCGAGGTGGCTGGATCACTTGAGGTTGGGAGTTCGAGACCAGCCTGACCAACACGGCAAAACTCATCTCTACTAAGCATATAAAATTGGCCAGGCACAGTGGCTCACACCTGTATCCTAACACTTTGGGAGGCCGAGGCAGGTAGATCACCTGAGGTCAGGAGTTTCAGACCAGCCTGGCCAACATGGCAAAACCCCATCTCTACTAAAAATACAAAGATTAGCTGGGCATGGTGGCAGATGCCTGTGATCCCAGCTACTGGGGAGGCTGAGGCAGGAGAATAGCTTGAACCCAGGGATGGAGGTTGCAGTGAGCCCAGATTGTACCACTTCACTCCAGCCTGGGTGACAGAGTAAGACTCCGTCTCAAAAACAAAACAAAACAAAAAATTAGCTAAGTGTTGTGGTGTGCGCCGTAATCCCAGCTACTTGGGAGGCTGAGGCTCAAAAATCACTTGAACCCGAGAGGTGGAGGCTTCAGTGAGCCGAGATCGCGTTACTACACTCCAGCCTGGGCAACAGAGTGAGATTGTGTCTCAAAAAAAAAAAAAAAAAAAAAAAAAAAAGAAACGCAGGCAAAATAATAGTAAACGAGTGTAGCACAAATGCTGAGAATGCTTTCTGCTGCTTCAGGGAGATATTTATAACTGCTTTTCAGAGACAGGGTCTTGTTCTGTCACTCAGGCTAGAGAACGGTGGTGCGATCACAGCTCACAGCAGCCTCAAGCTCCTGGGCTCGAGAGCCTCCCACCTCAGTACGACTATACGACCATCTTAATGTAGGCTTAGATGTGAGATTCACTACTTTTAAAAATCATTTTTAATATTTCTGCCCAAATGGTTTAAACTAAATTTAGTTTTAAATCTAAATCTCAAAAACAATGAAAAGACCTAGATGCGTGAAAAGAAACACTGTCCGCAAACATTCTTAGCTACCGTGCACCCAGAACTCAGCTAAGGTTCCCACACAGGTGGGCAGGGCAGGGCAGAGGAGGGCAGAGGAGGGCAGGAGAGGGCAGGGGCCGCTTGAGAAGAGGAGCTGAAAACAAACAGCTCAGAACTGACTGCCCCCAACAAGAACCATGAGCAGAGTTCACAAAACACAAAACTCAGTCTCTCATTTTAAGACACAGGTAATGGCTGGGCGCGGTGGCTCATACCTATAATCCCAGCACTTTGGGAGGCCGAGGCGGGTGGATCACAAGGTCAAGAGATTGAGACCATCCTGGTCAACATGGTGAAACCCCGTCTCTACTAAAAATACAAAAAATTAGCTGGGCATGGTGGCGCAAGCCTGTAATCCCGGCTACCCAGGAGGCTGAGGCAGGAGAATTGCCTGAACCCAGGAGGCGGAGGTTGCAGTGAGACGAGATCACCCCCTTGCACTCCAGCCTGGGTAACAAGAGTCAAACTCCGTCTCCAAAAAAAAAAAAAGACACAGGTAATGTTTTTAAAAAAGAAATGGAAAAAGAGGCGGCAGCCAGAGGCAGGCGGGAGCTGCCATGCCCAGCACCTGTGTCCCGGGAATACGGGCTCAGCTCCAGTCCCTTAAACCCAATACAACACGAGGCTTTGCCAACCAAATGTGGCCGAAAGACCGCCTATGTGCTGCGGCAGCCCCAGCACCTGCCCCTGGTCGGAGCAGTGAGCACCGAGCCCCGGGGTGCAGTCCCCCAGGGAGGCACGGGCCTCTCCCACAGCACCAAGAAAGACCAAGACAGGAAATAGGAAAAGGGACTTTATTTATTAAAGTCATCTGTGAGTGACTAGTTAAATTAGCATGCCTGACATTAACACTCTGGGTTGAAACCTGCCTCCGTCAAATAATAACACGTGGACTCTCCAAGCAAACGTCTGGGGGCAGTTCAAGTCGCAACTCAAGAGCCCAGAGGAGCATGGGAGGAAGCCATCACTCCACTTCCTAGCGCCACAAGCACTTTTTTGTAAACACCTGTCAGATGCCAAAAATACGGCCTTACACACTACCATCACCAGAGTTTATAAGCAATCAGATCAGAGCACAGGAGCAGCCGCGGTGCCACCAACAGTCCAGGGCCGAGGAGCTGAAGTGTTTCCAGGCGACGTCCGCTCTGCCCTGGGCTGCGCTGGGGGCTGCTGTGGCCGGACAGCTGAGTGGAGCAGTGCCACCTACGTGCGATTTAGTGTCTGGAAGATTCTAGAGATCTGCAGCATGACAGGACCCGTTTCTGGATCGTTCATCCACTGGGTGCTGTTCAGTGGGTTCTCCAGCATGTCTTCAAATGCTGCAGGAGAAACAGAGCCAGCCTGAGTGCCCATGCCCCCAACTCAACCCACAGGCCCCGGCGTGACGAAGCTTCCTAATGGAGAGGGCGTGTCTCCAGGGCAAAGGCCACACAGAGCTCCCTGCGAACTGTGCACTCTCGGCCTGAAACCCACCCAGCTCCATCAGATGCGCCGATCAGATCAGGAGATCCGATCACAATCACGTACTCAATTCTGGCGGGCAGCCGCCAGGGCACAAAAATCATCTCCCCCAACAACTCAACTTCCAATCCCACCCTGAGAAGGTCAGCAGATGCAAAAAGGTCATACAAAGGCACTGCTGCAAAGTTAACAATAAATTGGAAAACCATAATGCGCAGCCTTAGAAAAATGACTTCTTTAAAACACCAGCACTCTAAAAATGCAGCACAGCACTTCCTCCAAACGAAAACGTGGGTCTTCTGAAAAGCTTTATACAACTGCTTCCCCGAGCAGCTGCCTTTTAGCAGACAGCTCTCCGCTCCCCACACTGTGAAGGAGCACAGGGTCTGCTGGCTGCCGGCCCTCTGCCTGATCGATGGCTCCACTCTGACCTGAGACCCACGGGAGCACTTACAGGCTCCAGGCAAAGTGCTCACTACAGGAATTCACAGCCATTCACGGCCCAGGAGCCGGTGGCTGAGCAGAGCTCAGAGTGAACCTGACTTGGCTCTGTTCATGACTGGACAACCCCCAGGCCCTAAAGCAATCCCTTGGTGTTCTGATTTAAAGTCCCTGAAAACTACTTCAAAATCTCAGAAAGAGACCAAGAAAGGTAACGCCAACCCAGTGTCTCTGAGAACAAACTGTAAGGTACAAAGCAGCTGTTCCCACACAGGGCGGGGAACTTCATCTCCTCTCAACAAACAGCAAAATAAATTCTGGAAGGATCAAAGAGATGAACAAAAAGACGAAGAAAGGGAGTTAAATATGAAAAACCACACAGATGATTATTCATCTGAGGAAGGACTTTCCTTTTTGAATTTTTTTTTGAGACAGAGTCTTGCCTTGTTGCCCAGGCTGGAGTGCAATGGAGTGATCATGGCTCACTGCAGCCTTGAACTCCCAGGCTCAAGTGATCCTCCCACCTCGGTCTCCTGAGTAGCAAGTATGCCACCACATCTGGCTGATTATTTTTTCTTTTTCTTGTTTTTTAGACGGAGTCTTGCTCTGTCGCCCAGGCTGGAATGTAGTGGCTCATCTAGGATCACTGTAACCTTTGCCTCCCAGGTTCAAGCGATTCTCCCACCTCAGCCTCTTGAGTGGCTGGGACTACAGGTGCACACCACCATGCCCAGCTAATTTTTTCTTTTTCTTTTTTTTTTTTTTGAGATGGAGTTTCGCTCTTGTTACCCAGGCTGGAGTGCAATGGCGCGATCTCGGCTCACTGCAACCTCCGCCTCCTGGGTTCAAGCAATTCTCCTGCCTCAGCCTCCTGAGTAGCTGGGATTACAGGCACGCGCCACCATGCCCAGCTAATTTTTTGTATTTTTAGTAGAGACGGGGTTTCACCATGTTGACCAGGATGGTCTCGATCTCTCAACCTTGTGATCCACCCGCCTCGGCCTCCCAAAGTGCTGGGATTACAGGCTTGAGCCACCATGCCCGGCCCAGCTAATTTTTGTATTTTATTTTTAGTACAGATGGGATTTTACTATATTGGCCAGGCTGGTCTCAAACTCCTGACCTTGTGATCTGCCCGCCTCAGTCTCCCAAAGTGTTGGGATTACAAGTGTGAGCCACAGTGCCCGACCTGTTTTTTGTTTTTTTTTTTTTAGTTGATAGAAGGTCCTGCTATGTTACTCAGGCTGGTCTTGAACTCCTGAGCTCAAACAATCCTCTCACCTCAGCCCCCTAAAGTGCTAAGATTACAGATATGAGCCACCATGCCTAACCTGAGGAAAGACTTTCTTCTGTGTATCTTAACTTTTGTATGTCAGAGAATGCCACACAAAATTAGAGGGCAAAAACAGTTTACAAAAGGCAACAAAAGTAGATGTCCCTAACATACAAGAAGCTATTAAGAAAGCTCTAAGATTAATACTGCAATTGAGAAACAGATGGGCCAGGCGCAATGGCTTACGTCTACAATCCTAGCACTCTGGAAGGCAGAGGTGGGAGGCTCGCTTGAAGCCAGGAGTTCAAGACCAACCTGAGCAAAAAACACGAGATCCCATCTCAACAACAACAAAATTGGCTGGGCATGGTGGTGTGTGCCTATAGTCACAACTACCTGGGAGGATGACGACTTGAGCCCAGGATGTCAGAGCTGCAGTGAGCTGTGACTGCACCACTGCACTCCAACCTGGGTGACAGAGCAACACCCTGTCTCCAAAAAAGGAAAAGAAAAAAACCAGATGACAGGCATAGGCAATACGTAAAAGAAGAAATGCAATGGCTAACTGAAAATATCCAACACTGCCAATAACTAAAAGGAATACAAATTAAAACAATGGGGGTCTTGTCTATGACATGGAGGTAGGCGAGTGTGTGTGCTGGGGGACAGATTTTGCATGGGCAGTGGTGCCATCACTGCACTCTAGCCCGGGTGACAAAGCAAGATCATGTTTCTATTAAATAAAGAAAAAAGGTTTTTGGACAGACTCCGAGGCAGCACACACTAATATCCTAAGGTATACAAGCAGCAGGAGAGCTAGGAGGAATATGCTCTCAGTGTGAAAGGAATCACTAAGAATAAAAATAAACTCACAAAGACCATTCTCAGGTTTTAGAATTTGGGTACAAAGAAGATCCCTACCTCACACCACACACATACTTCTGGGTAGATTATGGACTTAAATGAGAGAAACTTCAATGTTTTTGGAAAAAAATTAAGGAAAATGTATTTCTGACTTTGGAATAGGAGGGTTTTCTTTAAAGGTTCACATTCTAAAAGAAAACACAGACACACTTAAGGACATTAAAACACAGAATTCTGCCCATCAGCATGAGTAAATAAGTCAGAATCTAATCAATAGCATCTGCAGCACAAATAATGGGGAAAGGGTCAGGATCTAGGAGGTGAGGACCTTTCTGAATGAATAAGAAAACAATCCAAGAGAAAAGCAGGCCAAATGCCCAGCAGAAGCCCTCTCACGGCCGAGGTCCTACAGGTGGCCAATACGCTTCTGAAAGGCCAGCCTTTAATCAATATCAGGGCATGGCTGTTACAGCACCAGAGACACCTTCAGCCTACTTAGGTAGCAAAGGCCCTCCCAACGTCCAGGGCCTTGGCTCCTGGGGACCAACAGGAACCCTGCAATCCCAGCCCTAGGTATTCGGCCTAAAGAAACCCTCATCCCAGCTCCCTGGCAATGGGAACACTAAGAGCAGCACTACATGCAGACAACCCAAGGACCGTCAGATCCCTGGTGCCTTCCATCAACGAATTACTCCACAACTCCCACAAAGAATGCAGTCAGTCAGTTACAGAGGCCTGCTTGAAATGTGATTCTACTTACACAAAGGCAGCAACAAATGAGAGATTGTTTGAGGAGACAAGAATACAAGAAAATGCTACAGAAAAGCAGAGAAGTAAGCCATGGCAACAGCGATGGCCACAGTGGAGAGAGGGGCACCCCAGGCCCAGAGCTGAATGGTAGATACATGGCTATTAGTTTTATTATTTAAAGTTATAGCATTATATATACTTTTGTATGTAGGTATCTCACAACAAAAATAAACAATTACCAGTGAAGTCCCTGACAAAGAGTAAGACCACAAGCCCAAACCACTCCTTGTCCTCACGTGAGTTCCTAAGCTGCTGGTGCAGTCTCCACCCTGCTGCCCTCAGAAAGCCACTGGCACTGGTTTTCTGAAGACTGTATCAGACTCATTGTGCAGGAGACAGTCACATTGCAATCAGAACCTGACCTGCAGGACCCACAGTGACACAGCAGAGCTATACCTGCGGGATGCCAAGGTGTATGGCAGGACATGCCACCAGGGCACAGTGACCCTCAGTGTGGGATCCTCCACGATGCCTCCACAGCACCTGCGTGTCCTTCGGGGGAACAGCCAGCCTCCCCCACCGCGAGTGAATGTGAAGAAGGTGCACGTACCTAGCAATGTTTTCGGGTTGGTCAGGCCCAGCTGCACTACTGGGTTATCCAGGATGGCCTGAAAGAGAGGACTGTCGGGGTCGATGCCCTTGTCCAGCTCCTCTGGGGAGGGCTTGCGGTCCCCCAGCAGCCACTCGCACTGCAAAGGCAAGAGCACCAATGCCACCATTAGCCCTTCAGTGCCTCTGCAAGACACCACCAGGAGCAAGCACCCTGCTGAGTTCCCGCTGAGGCCCCAAGGCTGCTCTCACTGGAAGGGACCCTACCATGAAGACAAACCCAGCCCAGATTCACTGCTGTGCATGTCAGACCAGGCCAGAGAGAGAAGGAAGAGCTGGTCTGCTTTTCTTTGCAGACCCTGGCATTGCAGAGGTCACTGACTACTGCCACTTCCCCGGTTACCTGGGCCAGCATGGTCCACCGAGGAGTGTTGGGAAGGCAATTAACAAACGTACCAAGCACCCAGCTTGCCTGTGGTCCTGATAGGGGCAGTCAGTAGTGCTGGAGACATTAGGATACAGGCTCATCTCTGTCTCGGAATTGTGAGCTGCCAGCTCTGCTGGTTAGTGGGGGGTGGTGTTGGCCACCACGGGGCCCTCCCCAGGCAGAGCTTCATCAGCCCAGCTGGACACAGGCACAGGACGGGAATCATTCTGAGTCAGTTTAATAATATAAATGGGCTGGGTGTGGTGGTTCATGCATGTAATCCCAGCACTTCAGAAGCCAAAGCAGGAGGATCACTTAAAGCCAGGAGTTCAAGACCAGCCTGAGCAACAAAGGGAGATCTCGTCTCTAAAAAACTAAAATCGATTAGCCGAGCATGGTTGTGCATGCCTGTGGTCCCAGCTACTCAGGAGGCTGAGGCGGGAGGATCACTTGGGCCCAGGAGGTCGAGGCTGCAGTGAGCGTGATCACACAGCTGCACTCCAGCCTGGGGGACACAGTGAGACCCTGACTCCTAAAACAATTTAAAAAAAAAGATAAATGTACAATTACCTATCCATAGAGTATGCACACATAAGGCACCGTTTTAGAAAGACAAGGCCTAGGCCGGGCGCAGTGGCACATGCCTGTAATCCCAGCACTTTGGGAGGCAGGCAGATTATGAAGTCAGGAGTTCAATACCAGCCTGACCAACGTGGTGAAACCCCGTGCCTCCTAAAAATACAAAAAACATTAGCTGGGCATGGTGGTGCATGACTGGAATCCCTGCTACCTGGAAGGCTGAGACAGGAGAACTGCCTGAACCCAGGAGGCAGAGGTCGCGGTGAGCTGGTATCACGCCACTGCACTCCAGTCTGGGCAATAAGAGAACGACTCCATCTCAAAAAAAAAAAGACTGGAATTTTGTGTTTTTACATTTTTTTATTCTTTGAGACAGCTACCCTATCATCTCACTTAAACAGCCACTCACTTCACTGCACGTGGAAGCAAGCAAACACACGGCCGCCACCATGCACAGGCAGTCAGGACTGAGGCTCCCCAGCACCCACCCCGCCCACCACTCACTCACCATAGCCCAGTACTCACTCACCACAGCCCAGCACACACTCACAGAGCCCAGCACTCACTCACTGAGCCCAGCACACACTCACAGAGCCCAGAACTCACTCATTGAGCCCAGCACACACTCACCACAGCCTGACACTCAGACCAGCACTGAATCACCCAGCCCAGCACTCACTCACCATAGCCCAGCACCCAGCCCAGCACTCACTCACCATAGCCCAGCAATCACTCACCACAGCCCAGCACCCAGCCCAGCACCCAGCCCAGCACTCACTCACCATAGCCCAGCACTCACCACAGCCCAGGACTCACTCATCCAGCCCAGCACTCACTCAGCCAGACCAGCACTCACTCACCACAGTCCAGCACCCAGCCCAGCACTCACTCACTCACCACAGCCCAGCACCCAGCCCAGCACTCACTCACCACAGCCCAGGACTCACTCATCCAGCCTAGCACTCACTCAGCCAGCCCAGCACTCACTCACCACAGCCCAGCACTAACCCAGCCCAGGACTCACTCACCCAGCCTACCACTCACTCACCCAGCCAGGGACTCACCACACTCTGACACTCATTCACCACAGCCCAGCACTCACTTACCCAGCCCAGCACACACTCACCGAGCCCAGCACACACTCAGAGCCCAGCACACACTCACCGAGCCCAGCACACACTCACCACAGCCTGACACTCAGACCAGCACTGACTCACCCAGCCCAGCACTCACTCACCACAGTCCAGCACCCAGCCCAGCACTCACTCACCACAGCCCAGCACCCAGCCCAGCACTCACTCACCACAGCCCAGCCCTCACCACAGTCCAGCACTCACTCACCACAGCCCAGGACTCACTCACCCAGCCAGGGACTCAGTCACCACAGCCTGGCACTCACTCACCACAGCCCAGCACTCACTCACCCAGCCCAGCACTCACCCAGCCCAGGACTAACTGACCCTGCCCAGCACTCACTCATCCAGCCCAGCACTCACCCAGCCCAGCATTCACTCACCACAGCCCAGCACTCACCCCAGCCTAGCACTCACTCACCACAGCCGAGCACTCACTCACCACAGCTTGACACTCACTATCTCACCCCAGCCCTCACTCACCCAGCCCAGCACTCACCCAGCCCAGCACTCACTCACCCAGCCCAACACTCACTCAGCACAGCCCAGCACTCACACCCACAGCACACCACCCAGCCCAGCACTCACTCACCACAGTCCAGCACTCACTCACCCAGCCAAGCAGTCACCAAAGCCCAGTACGCACTCACCAAAACCCGACACTCACTCACCACAGCCCAGCACTCACTCACCCAGCCCAACACTCACTGACCACAGCCCAGCACTCACCACAGCTTGATACTATCTCAGCCCAGCACTCACTCACCCAGCCCAGCACTCACCCAGCCCAGCACTCACTCACCCAGTCCAGCATTCACTCACCCAGCCTAGCACTCACTCACCCAGCCCAACACTCACTGACCACAGCCCAGCACTCACTCACCCAGCCCAGCACTCACTAAACACAGCCCAGCACTCACTCATCCAGACCAACACTCACTGGCCACGGCCCAGCACTCACTCACCACAGCTTGACACTATCTCAGCACAGTACTCACACACCCAGCCCAGCGCTCACCCAGCCCAGCACTCACCCAGCCCAGCACTCACTCACCCAGTCCAGTATTCATTCACACAGCCTAGCACTCACTCACCCAGCCCAACACTCACTGACCACAGCCCAGCACTCACTCACCCAGCCCAGCACTCACTAAACACAGCCCAGCACTCACTCACCCAGCCCAACACTCACTGACCACAGCCCAGCACTCACTCACCCAGCCCAGCACTCACTAAACCACAACCCAGCACTCACTCACCCAGCCCAGCGCTGATTCACCACAGCCCAGTGCTCACTCACCCAAGCCCAGCGCTCACTCACCACAGCTTGACACTCACTCACTCAGCCCAGCACTCACTCACCCAGCCCAGCACTCAGCCAGCCCAGGAATCACTCACCCAGCCCAGCACTCACTCACACAGCCCAGCGCTCACTCACCACAGCACAGCACTCACCACAGCCCTGCACTCACCCAGCCGAGCATTCAACTCATCACAGCCCAGCACTGACTAACCACAGCCCAGCACTCACCCAGCACAGGACTCACTGACCCAGCCCAGCACTTGCTCACCCAGCCCAGCACTCACCCAGCCCAGGACTCACTGACCCAGCCCAGCACTTGCTCACCCAGCCCAGCACTCACCCAGCCCAAGACTCACTCACCCAGCCCAGCACTCACTCATCCATTCCAGCATTCACTCACCACAGCCCAGCACTTACTCACCACAGCCCAGCACTCACCCAGCACAGCACGCACTCACCACAGCCCAGCACTCACCACAGCCCAGCACTCACTCACCCAGCCCAGCACTCACTCACCCAGCCCAGCACTCACCACAGCACAGCACTCACTCACCACAGCCCAGGACTCACCCAGCCCAGTACTCATTCACCATAGCCCGACACTCACTCAACCAGCCCAGCACTCATTCATCACAGCCCAGCATTTACTTACCACATCCCAGCACTCACCCAGCCCAGCACTGACTCACCACAGCCAAGTACTCACCCAGCCCAGGACTCACTTACACAGCCCAGCAGTCACTCAACACAGCCCAGCACTCACCACAGCTCAGCACTCACTCAGCCCAGCACTCACCCACCACAGTCCAGCACTCACTCACCCAGCCAAGCAGTCACCAAAGCCTAGTACGCACTCACCAAAACCTGACACTCACTCACCACAGCCCAGCACTCACTCACCACAGCCCAGCACTCACTCACCCAGCCCAACACTCACTGACCACAGCCCAGCACTCACTCACCACAGCTTGACACTATCTCAGCCCAGCACTCACTCACCCAGCTCAGCACTCACCCAGCCCAGCACTCGCTCACCCAGCCCAGCACTTGCTCACCCAGCCCAGCACTCACTCACGCAGTCCAGCGCTCACTCACCACAGCCCAGCACTCACCACAGCCCTGCACTCACTCAGCCAAGTACTCAACTCATCACAGCCCCGCACTCACTCACCACAGCCCAGCACTCACCCAGCACGACTCGCTTACCCAGCCCAGCACTCACTCACCCAGCCCAGCGCTCACCCAGCCCAAGACTCACTCATCCAGCCCAGCACTCACCCAGCCCAGCACTCACCCAGCCCAGTACCCACTCACCACAGCCCAGCACTCACCAAGCCCAACACTCACTCACCACAGCCCAACACTCACCCAGCCCAGCACTCACTCACAACAGCCCAGCACTGACCCAGCCCAGCACTCATTCACCACAGCCAAGTACTCACCCAGCCCAGCACTCACTCACACAGCCCAGCATTCACTCAACACAGCCCAGCACTCACCCAGCCCAGCACTCACTCACCACAGCCCAGCACTTACCAGAGCCCAGCACTTACTCAGCCCAGTACTCACCCATCACAGCCCAGCACTGACTCACCCAGCCCAGCACTCACAACCTAGCACTGACTCACTACTGCCCAGCACTCACTCACCACAGCCCAGCACCCACTCACCACAGCCCAGCACTCACTCAATACAGCCTAGCACTCACCACAGCCCAGCACTCACTCAACACAGCCCGACATTCACCCAGCAGAGACCAGCATTCACCCAGCCCAGCACTCACTCACCACAGCCCCAGCACTCCCTCACCACAGCCTGACACTCACTCACCCAGCCTGACACCCACTCACCCAGCCCAGCACCCACTCACCTTGGGCCACCACTCACTCACCACGGCCCAGCACTCACATGGCCCAACACTCACCCAGCCCAGGACTCACTCACCCAGCCCAGCACTCACCCAGCCCAGCACTGACTCACCCAGCCCAGTACTCACTCACCAGAGCCCAGCACTCACTCACCAGATCCCAGCACTCACCAGATCCCAGCACTCACCAGATCCCAGCACTCACTCATCAGATCCCAGCACTCACCAGATCCCAGCACTCACTCATCAGATCCCAGCACTCACCAGATCCCAGCACTCACCCAGCCCACCACTGATTCACCATAGACCAGCACTCACTCAAACAGCCCAGCACTCACTCACCACAGCCCAGCACTCACTCACCACTGCCCAGCACTCACTCACATGGCCCAACACTCACCCAGCCCAGGACTCACTCACCCAGTCCAGCCCTCACTCACCCAGCCCAGCACTCACCCAACCCAGCACTCACTCACCCAGCCCAGTACTCACTCACCGGAGCACAGCACTCACTCACCAGATCCCAGCAGTCACTAGATCCCAGCACTCACCCAGCCCAGCACTGACTCACCACAGCCCAGCACTCACTCACCACGGCCCAGCTCTCACTCTCCACGGCCCAACACTCACTCACCACGGCCCAACACTCACCCAGCCCAGGACTCACTCACCCAGTCCAGTCCAGTCCTCACTCACCCAGCCCAGCACTGACTCACCACAGCCCAGCACTCACCCAGCCCGGGATTCACTCAACCAGCCAGGGACTGACTCACCGCAGCCCAGCACACACTCACTCACCCAGCCCAGTACTCACTCACCACAGCCCAGCAGTCACACACTACAGTCCACCACTCACCCAGCCCAGGACTCGCTCACCCAGACAGGGACTGACTCATCACAGCCCAGCACTCACTCACCCAGCCCAGCACTCACTCACCCAGCCTAGCACTCACTCACCACAACCCAGCACTCACTCACTCAGCCCAGCACTCACTCACTGCTGCCCAACACTCACCGCAGCATTCTGCTGGTTGTTGTTCACTCTGAGGGCGTCTATCACCTCCTTCTCGTCGAACCCCATCTCCATCAGGGAAATGACGGCCTGGAGGAGAGCACAGCCGTGAGCTCGCTGCATGGCAGGAGGCCAAGGCACCAGCACCCACATGCAGGGAGGCTGCTCTGCTCCACGGCACCCTAGCAGAGGGGCTCTGAACAGCACCGGACGTTCTCCGTCCGAGTTCTCCCCCCTCACAGCTCTACTGAAACACAGCTTGGTTTGAGGCATCCTAAAGCCCAGGAATGCCGGTCTGACTGTAGTCAGCAGAGCCAGGGGGTCAGTGCAGCCCCCGGGCTTGTCTTCAGGGAGCCGCAGGTTGTGGCCTGCAGAAACGCATCGCTCATGTGGACACGAGGCGGTCAGGCCAACCTCAGACTCTTTCAGGTTTGTCCCGGTGCCTACGTGGATGAGACTATCTCCGCAGACACTGCAGGCGGACCCCAGAGGGCCTTGGTAGCCAAGAGTAAGTGGCATTAACAAAGGCCATGTCAGAAAATGCAATTTCTGTGCAAACAAACATGGCATCGTGATCTGTGAAAAAAGGTTTTATTCAGATTTTTATCTTAGAAAATCTTAACACTAATTTTTTAACTTTTACTACTGAACAAAACTTAAACTACAACTAAACACAGGCTAACTCATTCTGGGGGAAGGACATACATTTTCTGGACAGAAATCATGTAACAAGATAATACACCCTTTACCCTGGAGATTTATAACACAATGTTTAAAGGGGTCCATTTTAAAAAAATAGAATAAAATGAAGGCTTCATCAACATTTCAAGGGCCACTCCTAATCCCTGCAAGGTCAGCCCCCCGACCCTCTTGAAGCCCCCAGAGTCCTCTCTCTCTTTGGCAGTTTTCCGGCCACTGTGAGCTGGTCCCAGGGTGCTGGCCCCACAGAACTCCCAGCAGCCCCCGGGCTGATTTCATGCAGCAACGCACCCCACAGACCGTGCGCATCCACAGCCAGTCTGAACTCACTGTCAGATGCTTCAAAGGGAACCGAGTAGAACAAGACTTCAGCTATGGGTAGAGCTCAGGAAGGATGCTGGCTGAAGATAAATTTGCGCATGGTCAGTTCAAAAGTCCCAGCCAGGTGCAGTGGCTCATGCGTGCAACGCCAGCACCTTGGGAGGCTGAGGCAGGTGGATCACTTGAGGTCAGGAATTCAAGACCTGCCTGGCCAAAGTGGGGAAATGCTATCTCTACTAAAAATACAAAAATTAGCTGGGCATGGTGGCACACACCTGTAATCCCAGCTACTTGGGAGACTGAGGCAGGAGAATCACTGGAACCCGGCAGTTGGGAGGTTGCAGTGAGCGGAGACAGCTCCACGGCACTGCAGCCTGGGTGACAGAGCGAGACTCCGTCTCAAAAAGAAAACAACTCTGCATCTTCGCCAGGCGCAGTGGCTCACGCCTATAATCCCAGCACTTTGGGAGGCCGAGGCGGGTGGATCACAAGGTCAAGAGATCGAGACCCCATCTTGGTCAACAAGGTGAAACCCCGTCTGTACTAAAAATACAAAAATTAGCCGGGCGTGGTGGTGCACGCCTGTAGTCCCAGCGACTCGGGAGGCTGAGGCAGGAGAATTGCTTGAACCCAGGAGGCGGAGGTTGTGGTGAGCCGAGATCGTGCCATTGCACTCCAGCCTGGGTAACAACAGCGAAACTCCATCTAAAAAATAAAAATAAAAAACAACTCTGCATCTTCTACTCATGGCCCATCGCACTTGCCTTCCTGAGCCACACCCTAAGTCCAGGAGCTCCAACAATGAATGAACTCTGGAAGAGGAACCCACCATACAATCAATATTTTGATATCAAAGTCATAAAAAATAGCCTGGAATCTACCGACTTCAAAAACAGGAAGCCCTCGCCCTCGTTTCTACCTCAGCCCGGGAAACGATCCCCAGCAATCCTGAGGCAACACCTGCCAGCTCCGCCCTGCCTCCCAGGTCATGGGGCAAAGACTTGGGCAGCTTTGGGAGAGGGGCTTTGCACTCTGGGGCCCTGCCAGCTCTGCCCCTGGACAGCAGGTACGTACTCTGTCTGCCGCTGGGGGGAGGGGCAGCGGGAAGGCTGTCTGGCCTCAAGTCAGAGCTCTCCAACCCTTTCCCGCTAACTAAGCTAGTTTCTCGATCCCTGCCTGACCACTGCCTGATCTCACAACTTGGAAAGAAGATGAAGGGTAGAAGGGCTGACATGCTGGCCCCTCAAGCCCGGACCACCTTGAATGACTGTCATCAAAGAAGACATTCTATGGAACGTTCTGACACAGAGAGACGACCAGAAGGAACGGCAATGAGGAAGATCTTGGGAAAATGAGCACATTAAAATTGTTAAGAATGAGCATCTGTATTTAACAAAAAGGCTTAAGATGCCAAGAAAGAATATGGGTAACAACCTCTCAGAGCCCATGCAGAACCACAACACAGGAGCGTGCCAAGTCCAACCTCAGAGCACGAAGGACCAGCTGGAGAGCGGCCGCTCCGCCCAGACAGGCTTCCAGGATCACATGTGAACTTGGCTCCCTGGGAGTCAAGGACAGCGAGACAAACTTCTTGCTACACCTAGAAACGCTAGACGAAAATAAAGCAAAAATGCTTTTAGGCGGGACACACTGGCTCACGCCTATAATTCCAGCACTTTGGGAGCGCAAGGCAGGAGGACCACTTGAGGCCAGGAATTCAGGACCAGCCTGGGCAACACAGGGAGATCTCTATCTGTATACAATTTTTAAAATTAACAAATTAGTCTGGTGTGGTGGTGCATACCTGCAAGAGCTACTCAGGAGACTGAGGTAGCCACGAGGATCATTTGAGCCGAAGAGGTCACGGCTGCGGTGAGCCATGACTGTGCCACTGCACTGCAGCCTGGGTGACAGAGTGAAACTCAGTCTCAAAAGAAAAAAAAAGATGAAACGAAACTTTTAAATGTGCAACTAAACTCACAAGAAAGGGATATCTACAAGTGATAAAAACCAAGAAGGAACAGACAGAAAGCTAGCCCTGTGAGAGGGTGTGAGTAGGGCTGCCCCGGGAGGGTAGGATCTGATGTCCACACACAGAACGTGCACCCTGGGCCCATGGGAGGTAGGAAGTGGGAACTGAGACCCTCGCTCAAAACCAGGACCCTGAAAAGAGAAGACGGTCTAGAAAAGCATTTGTCTCAACGGGATCTAACTGAAGAGCTTCTGCACAGCAAAGAACGACCCTCCGAGTGAGCAGACAACCCGCAGAACGGGAGAACACTTCTGCCATCCGGCCATCTGACACAGGGCTAATACCCAGACCTACACGGAACAAACACATTTACAAGGAACTACCAACCCCAATAAAAAGTGGGCAAAGGACATACCAGACACTTCTCAAAAGAAGACACCTGGCCGGGCACAGTGGCTCGTGCCTATTATCCCAGCACTTTGGGAGGCAGAGGCAGGCAGATCACTTGAGGTCAGGAGTTGGAGAGCGGCCTGGCCAGCATGGGAAACCACGTCTCAACTAAAGATACAAAAATTAGCTGGGCATGGTGGTGTGTGCCTGTAGTCCCAGGTACTTGGGAGGCTGAGGCAGGAGAATCAACTGAACCTGGGAGATGGAGCCTGCACTGAGCCCACGCCACTGCACTCCAGCCTGGGCGACAGAGCAAAATTCAACATCGCTGATCATTAGAAAAATGCAAATCAAAACCACAATGAGATACCATCTCACGCCAGTCAGAATGGTGATTAAAAAGTCAAGAAGCAACAGATGCTGGTGAGGCTGTGGAGAAACAGGAACGCTTCTACACAGTTGGCGGGAATGCAAATTAGTTCAACCCCTATGGAAGACACTGTGGCATGCGGTGATTCCTCAGAGACATAGAAACAGAAATACCATTTGACCCTGCAATTCCATTACTGGGTATATACCCACAGGAATAGAAATCATTCTATTATAAAGATACATGCACACGTATGTTCACTGCAGCACTAGTCACTACAGCAAAGACATAGAATCAACCCAAATGCCCATGGATAAGGAAAGACACCAGACAGACAGGATCAAGAAAATGTGGACACCATGGAATACTATTCAGCCATAAAAAGGAACGAGAGCCATCCTCAGCAAACTAACAGAGGAACGGAAAACCAAACACCTCACGTATTCAGGTGGAGCTGAAAAATGAGAACTCAGGGAGGGGAACAGCACACAGTGGGGCCTGTCAGGGGCTGGGGAGGGAGAGCATCAGGGTGAATAGCTAATGCACCCTGGTCTTGATACCTAGGTGACAGCTTGACAGGTGCAGCCATCCGCCACGGCACAAACTTCCCTGTGTAACAAACCTGCACGTCCTGCACGTGTATCCCGGAACTTAAATTAAATTACATTTTAAAAGAAAGAAAACCATTTGTCTCCACGGACCCTGTGCAGGGAAGACCTGAGCTGGGAAGCCAGGGGTTGCACTGCAGGCCGTGGGGGGCAGGGCCGCACGCAAAACCAGCGGAAGCAACTCGGAATCGCCCCAGGTGGATGTCTACAGCCTAGCCACTTGGAACTCCATGGGAAACACAAGCCCCGAAGGTGGGGCCACTGAGATGAGGAGAGCCTACAGACGGAAACGCCTGAGGGAGCGGATCTACCATCTAAGCTCGTGGGACAGAACCTCAAAGGAGGAAGTAAACTCGAATCGAAGAACAGGGAGACTCGGTGACGTCAACCACAAGGTGCCAGCGAGGAAGGTCCACATGCACAGGCAAAGGGACCCTTCAGCCCTCTGCAGACGGCACCGGCTGGAGGGCTTGAGCTGCCCCTCGCTCACGGGCAACCCCACGGCAAATGAGCCTCTGGTCTCTGGGCAGGGCACCCCCCACAGAGAGGCTGCCGAACAGGTACGGCGTGTGGCCCACAGGAACTGTAAAACGGCGAGGTTTTCAAACGGTGACAAATATGGCGACGCGGAGGACGCTGGGCCGGGGCCGTCCGGATTCGAGCGAGGATGACGCACAGGCATGCTCAGGAACTCAGGCCACAGACCCCGGGCCCGCCTGTAAACGCCTTCCCCAGCTTCCGTCTCTCCTGCGACAAGAGTCAGCTCAGCCCAAGGTCAGCCTCACAGCCCCAGTCTCCTTTACACGGTGCGACCTCAAGGGAAGACACAGCGACTCTGCCTGGCAACAGGTCTAGTAACACATACCCGAGCATCAGCCCGAAACTCCCTTTTCCTCCGGATCTTCTTGAAGATTTCCGTGAGCTCATCTCTGGCCTCCTCGTCGGTGCTGCTGGTGCCTGCAGTGGCCTCGGAGGTGGCTGCTGCGGCTGCTGCAGCCCCCTCGGCCCCTGAGGGAGCTTGGCCTGGAAGAGGCGTGTCTATGGTCGGGTCTTCTGCGTGTTCGATGAGCCACTCCATGGCCTGAGGCACCGACATGCTGCAAGGCAAGAGACTCTTTCCAACACCCCCAGCCTAACGGACCTTCCCCTCCTGTCCACTCCCAGGAATTGGACAGGACCTTCTTCACCTCCCCTGCCCTCCCCTCCTCTCCTCTCCTGTCTTCTTTCCAACACCCCCAGCCTAACGGAGCAGGGCCTTTGCCCCCCGTCCATTCCCAGCAAGAGCCTCTGCTATGGAAGTGACTTCTCCAGCATCAGCCGCTGACCCTTATGGTGAGAACCTGCATGAACACAGGTGCAGCTGCAGCTCGGGTCCTTGCCTGAAACTACTTTGAGACCCTGGGCAGAAACAGAAGCCCATTTCTAAGGAGAGGCAAGCGGACCCAGAGGTCTCTGCTGAGAGCTTAGGTATGGCTGCCCCGGGCTTACAGATGACTCATTTTAGATCTGAACACAGAGGCAGGGCAGGTGACTCACGCGGGAACCCAAAGAAGACTGTTAGAGGCTTCACCTGGAGTTCTCATACAATGGCCCAAAGAGAATTCACAGAACGACTGTTCTCTCACATGCACCCCAAAAACACTTTGGAGGCACACATTTAAGAAACCTCTTCAAAACCCCATACATATTAGAAATGATTCCACCAAACAGAGAGTTTAGGGTGGGAGGACGTCACCCGCAGGGAGAGCCCCACAAGACCAGGCCCCACGTGTCTCGGCAAGGGCAGGGGTGACTCCCACGCACTGGTTCAGTTGAAGGGCCTTGGTAGCTCTGGTCTCGGGAAAGCCCATCTCCGTGAGCTGCCGCAGGGCAGCCTCGTCCACACGCTCATCCTCATCCTCGTCCAGCATCGCTGAGGGGAGATGACAGGGTCATGAGGGCTGCAGCCTTGGGCTCAGGGGCCTTATTTGAGCACAAACACTTCCAGCAATTATCTTGAGACCTCCCGGTATCTGAGCTCGACCTGCCCGCCCACCCTCAGGCGTATGGATAGCAGTGAGGCAGCCCCCAGGCCCTCATCAGCATGGAGGCTCCACAGAGAATTCTCCAGCGAGAATGAAGCACCTGCTGTCACCGGGGTTGGCTCATACCATTCGCCTTCTTAAACAATTCCACCGCATCCGGGTTCAGCGCTAACAGCTTCTGCGCCACGTCGATGAGAGACACCAGTATCTTCCGGAGTTCTGTCTGGAACTGTGGTGAAAAAAAGATCAGTTTAACTGTGCAGCACACCTGCTTGGATGTACTGGATGCATGACTTGCTCCCCTGTCCTGGAACTCTGATTCTGACGGCAGAGATGACACTGCCTTCTGGCAAGACAGCAGGATCAGCTGAGGACAACGCGGGGGATCAGCAGGGCCAACAGCCTCCCATGAAGCCAGCAGAAAGGGAGAGGAACGCCTGGTGACGGTCACTCAGCGCTGGCCTGATGCTCAGCCTGAGCCAGTGAGGAAACCACTGGCCCAGCTGGCGCGGGTGTGGGGCAAGCTGAAGCCCCCTCTCGGCTTCACTGAAGAACACAGACTGATCTGAGGCTCCACAGCCGCGACTCTGCCAGCCCTCAGCGGAGGTGTGGCTGCCCCTCAGCCTCTGCAGCGGCCCGTCACTGTCCTCCCCCCACAGGAGGAGTGCTGGGACGGACGAGAGACGCCCTCCAGGACAGCTCCTGACTACGGGGCCTAGAAGTCGGGGGTCAGCCATCCCTTCTCTCACACAAGCGTGAGCCTTGGTGTGGACACCACACTAGAGAAATACCTCTGAGCTAGACACACACAAGATGGGAGAAACACACGCTGGCCACTGGGGAAAAGCCACCGTGCCCTGGTCAGCATGGAACCCTCTGGAAGAGACCCCAAGAAGTTCACTCCTAAAACGAACCAGTGCTCAGGGCAGTGCCCTTAGGTCGGACTGGCATCAGATGAAGTTGGAAGCCAGCAGTCCTCCTACCCTGGCACAGCTCACGCCCGCCCTGCCTACTGGGCACCCACGTGAGCACTGCAAACACTTTTCTTTTTTAACTTAGAACGTTCTGATCCAAAATAACTCACGGGTTCAGATTTCTAAGAGTTTTGCCGAACTCAGGGCCGGACTGAGGTTCTCCCAGGGGCATCTATCTTTTTGGTCCTGCCTTCAGATGGCTTTCCAACTTCTTACTTAGAGATCATTTTCGATTTACAGAAAACATGCAAAGTAGTACAGTCCTGTAGAGCCCTCACCGGCTTCCCCAAAGACATCTAGGGGATCGGCTCTTGCTGCCCCGCCCCACGGGGACCCCCTGCCGCTCTGGGCCGACACTCACATCTCTCATGTTGGTCTGAACCACGGCTCGGTCCATGTTGTGGGAGGGCAGGTTGGCAGTGGCCCGGAGGATGGCATCTTTATCTGGAGCTTTCTGGTCTTGTTTTTTCTACACAGAAAAGCAACCGGAAAGTCAGATATAAATGTAAAAGCAGAAAGGGCAAGATGATGAAAACTGGGTTGGCAGAGTTCTGCCCAGGAAAGACTCCGTCTCCTTTAGGAGCCAGAGATGTAAACTCCTTGATGAGCTGGGAGAGCCTGGAGAGTTCTGGGCAAGGCCCCGGGACAGCAGACGAGCTGTGATGCCAAGGACGTAACTGCTCTGCTGTCAATGAGAGTGAAGCAGTGGGTGAGGGGCAGAGCGGGAGCCAGGGCCGCAGAACAACCGTCACACAGGGCTGCGGCGAGGGAAGCGACTCCAGAGGAACCACCCGGCCCGCAACTCAGCCCTGAGGCCAAAACTGCGAACTCATCTCTGCTCCTTCTGGAAGCTCCTCATGCGCAGTAATGGCGACAGAAACTCGCAAGAACAACGATGGGAGCGGAAGAGAGCCGGAAGAGTGACAGCACATTCTAACGACGGCCAAGCACGGAGGGACCAGCAGAGCTGCAAAGGCTCAGGTCAAGAGCAGAGCACGGACGCAACACCGTTCCAGCCTCCTACAACTGCATCGGTGGCAAGGGACAGGGAGCGAGCCTCAGGAGCTAGTGCTCCATCCCCTGCCACCCTGCCCTACACTTCCCTGCCACCCAGCCCTGCTGGCAACTCCCAGAGAGCTGGGCTTGAGATGCCGAGCCAAGAGCCCTAGGCTCATGAGAGGGAAAGTGGCACCCCCAGCACCATCGACAGCAGCCGGGCCGTGGGTCAGGGACGGGGAGACCAGCAGCAGGGGTGAGGGACAGTGAGACCAGCAGCAGGGGTGAGGGGCAGGGACAGGGAGACCAGCAGCAGGGGTGAGGGACAGGGACAGGGACGCCCAACAGCAGGGGTGAGGGACAGGGACAGGGAGACCAGCAGCAGGAGTGAGGGGCAGGGACAGGGAGACCAGCAGCAGGGGTGAGGGACAGGGACAGGGAGACCAGCAGCAGCAGTGAGGGGCAGGGACAGGGAGGCCCAGCAGCAGGGGTGAGGGACAGGGAGACCAGCAGCAGCGGTGAGGGGCAGGGAGACCAGCAGCAGCGGTGAGGGGCAGGGACAGGGAGGCCCAGCAGCAGGGGTACAGGACAGAGACAGTCATGAGGTGGGAGGGGACAAAATGGCAGGGTCTGCACCCACAGGGCAGCACCCAGTCCCAGAGCACTGCTAACAAGATCCAGATCCTCTGGAAGGTGGCGTTCAGCCATGGACAGCCAGCCAGATGTTTAAGGAAAGTTTCCAGCATGAAAGACAAAAATCCAGATGAGAACAGGAACAGGTTGGGCATAATGGTGCGCACCTGTAATCCCAGCACTTTGGGAGGCCAAGGTGGGTGAATCACTTGAGGTCAAGAGTTCCAGACCAGCCTGGCCAACATGGTGAAACCCCATCTCTACTAAAAATACAAGATAAGCCAGGTGTGGCAATGCACACCCGTAATCCCTTAAAAGGGATGGGTCTCTTTCTGGAGAGATTCAGCAGTTAAGAAATCCTGTTGCTGGCTCTGAAGGAGAAGGCTGTGTGGGAAGGAATCCGGGCTGCACACAGGTCCTGAGAGGAGCCCCTGCTGATGGCTGCCAGCTACCTGGGAGGCTGAGGCAGGAGAATCGCTTGAACCTGGGAGGTGGAGGTTGTAGTGAGCTGAGATCGCGCCACTGCCTGCACTAAAGCCTGGGTGAGTAACAGAGTGGCCTGCAGCCCTGCTGCTGGGTTTCCCTGTCCCTGCCCCCACGCCCCTGCTGCTGTCGATGGTGCTGGGGGTGTCACTCTCAAACAAACAAAAATCAGGAACAGAAAGGAACACAAAGGAGGAGCCAGCAGGGAAGAGGAGAGCGTCTGTGAGCCAGGACACATGGCCTGCAGGCCATGAGGAACACACCTGAGCGCTAGAAGACGTGAGCCGAGGAGAAGCCGCCGAGGAATTTAAATATGTTACAGCCAGGTCAAAAAGGCTACAGAATGCTTGGAAGATAAAGTCAAAGAATCCCTCAGAAAACAGGCCCACCAGCCAACCCGTAAGAGTTACAGAAAGATGCACTCCAGCCTGGGCAACAGAGCGAGACTCTGTCTTTAAAAAAACAAAAAGAGTTACAGAAAGAGAAAAGAAAACAAGGAGATGAAAAAACCAATTCAGAACTTTTCCAGAATTAAATTTGCTGGAACTCAGACATCTGAATCTCCAGTTAATGTGCCGGGCATAGCGAAGAGAAAAGGACCTGCAGCAGGACACCATGGAATATTCCAGAAAAGTAAAGCACACCAGATGGCAGAAGGTTCCAGAAGGAGTACAGGAAGGGAGGCAGCTGGCGTAGGGAGGCGCAGCTCAGAGCCTGGAGTACTGCACACGCCTGGCACCGCCTCCACAGCTCCGGCGCTGGAATGCGAGGCCAGCTGGTTCTCCTCCCGGGCACTAGAAGGAGTCACCAAGGGACAGGTCGAGAACAAGACACCTGGTCCTGTGGCAGGCCTGGCACTCACCTGCACATGACCACAGAGCGTGAGCAGGACCTGGTCCGCTGTGGGGTCAGGTTATGTCACGTAGCACAGCCGACTTTGGGGAAAGAGCATGACGCTTTGTGAGCCTCACCTAGTCAGGCAGGCCCTTAAAAGGGATGGGTCTCTTTCTGGAAAGAAATTCAACACTTAAGAAATCCTGTTGCTGGCTGTGAAGGAGGAGGAGGCCATGTGGGAAGGAATGCGGGCTGCACCCAAGCCCCGAGAAGAAAATGGGTTGGAACTGGACTCTGCCGACCGCCGGCAGACCTTGGAAGCGGACTCTTTCCCAGAGCCTCGGAAAGGAACGCAGCCCTTCGACACCCTGATTTCAGCTCAAGACCCTGAGCACAGGAACCCGCTGAGCTCCCCCCGCAGACTTCCGCCCTACAGAAATGCCAGCTACAACACGAGTGCTGGTTTGGTGTCACTGGTGTTTGAGATGGGGTCTCGCTCTGTAGCCCGGGCTGGAGTGCAGTGGCGTGGTCTCGGCTTACCGCAACTTCCACCTCCCGGGTCCCGGTTCAAGCAATTCTCCTACCTCAGACTCACAAGTAGCTGGGATTACAGGCACGAGCCACCATGCCCAGCTAATTTTTGTATTTTTTTAGTGGAGACGGGGTTTCACCATGTTGGCCAGTCTGGTCTTCAACTCCTGACCACGTGATCCACCCGCCTCAGCCTCCCAAAGTGCTGGGATTACAAGTATGAGCCACCGTGCCCGGCCCACAAGTGCTGTTTTAAGCAGATACGTTTCTGGCGATTTGTTAGATGGCAACAGAAAACTTACACGGATAGCAAATTCTAACCTAGGAGAGAGGAAGGAAAGCCAGGCTGCCTGAAAGGCAGCGACTCAGACAGAGCATGGGCCAGAGGAATCTGGAGGGACAGCGCCCCAAGAAATGGAGCACCCCGGCGACCTCACTTCTGTGACCATGTTTCCAGAAGCTTTATCAGCTCTGTAGAAGAGCATGAAAAAATCAGCAATAAGCCTATGAGAAACTCAACAAGCAAACGAAAAGATGAGGCGAGTATGAATTCCAGGACAAACAAAGCTGTGTGAGCAGGATGGATAATTTCAACATGTTCCGCTCACAGCTGAAAGCTACACTTCAGTTATAATAGTAACAAAAACCCTGAGCTCTTCAACAAAAATTCCCATCTAACCTTCAAGGGAGGAGGGAGGGAGGCACTGTATCCTCTCCATTAAGACGTCAATAGAGACTAAAGTTGATTCAAGGAATGACGATATACGTATACTATTTACAAATCTGGAAGAGAATTGGTTTTGCTGTTGTTGTTTTGATACGGAGTCTCGCTCTGTCGCCAGGCTGGAGTGCAGTGGGGCGATCTTGACTCACTGCCACCTCTGCCTCCCAGGTTCAAGAAATTCCCCACCTCCCAAGCAGCTGCGACTACAAGGCACACACCACCATGCCCAATCAATTTTTTGTAGTTTAGTAGAGACAGGGTTTCGGCATGTTGGCCAGATGGTCTCGATCTCCTGACCTCATGATCTCCCGGCCTCAGCCTCCCAAAGTGCTGGGATTACAGGCATGAGCTACGGTGTGCAGCTGAGAATTATTAGAGATAACAAGAGTTATGATCGGTTAAGCCAAGCATGCAGGCTCATGCCCGTAATCCCAACACTTTGGGATGCCAAGGTGAGCAGATCATCTGAGCCCAGGAGTTCAAGACCAGCCTGAGCAACATGGCAAGACCCCACGTCTACAAAAAATACAAAAATTAGTCAGGCGTGGTGGTGTGCACTTACAGTGTCAGCTACTCTACTCCTGGGGCTGAGGCAGAAGGATGGCTTAAGCCCGGCAGGCAGAGGCTGCAGTGAGGTAAGATCGTACCGCTGCACTCCAGCTTGGTGTGGGCCTGGCTTTGCCAACACGCCCAGCTAATTTTTTATATTTTATATATTTTTTTAGAGACAGGGTTTCATCACGCTTCCCACGCTGGTCTCAAATTCCTGGGCTCAACGTGATCCTCCCACCTCAGCCTCCCAAAGTGTTGGGACTACAGGCGTGGGCCACCTTTTAATTAAAAGATCTGTACTATTATTTGAGCTTTTAGAGACATGTTACTTTGACTTAAAAATTAATTCATAAATACAAAAATGAGCAGGGTGTGGTGGCACACACCTGTGGTCCCAGCTACTCGGGAGGTGAGTCATGACTGCACCATGGCACTGTAGCCTGGGCAAGACTGAGATCCTGTCGCCAAAACAAAAACAAAATTAAAAATTAATTCAAAAAATATCAATTAACGTCTTACAATGTTTCAGCTTGCAAATATTTGAAAAGAAAAGGTAAGCTCCTCAAGTGAGCTCCAAGCTACCCATTCAGGAGGCTGCGGGGCAATGGCCGGATGGTCAGACCTGCCATTTAGGAGTTACGAGCCTGTAGTCTGAACACCAACCGTCAAACTGTAATCTGAGAACTGTGAGTGCCTGCGGCAGTTCCCAGAAACAGGCCTGACTCGGGACAGCAGGCGGAGGCATGCCCAGATCTGTCCATGCAGACGGTGGAGCAGCAGCCTGTGTGTCACTCACATGTGCCAAGTGTGGCTGAAGATAAGGCGGGGACCCAAGCCCAGGGCGCTCTTCCTGGGGACCCATGGTCCCAGATGAAACCCGAAAATAGATTATGCACTACCAGGCCTGGGCCCTGCCCAGAAGAGTCTGGCCCACCCTTTCACTGGGGTGAATGCTCTCCTTAGCCTCTCAAAGCACAAATGAGAAACTCTACCCTCAGGATGAGTAATGAAAAGACAGCAGAGGCAAGTGGCTGCCCTTCTAGACGGCAGACTCCATTCTCCGCATGGGCTCGGCGCCAGCCGGTGACTCAAAGACACCACTCACAGGACACGTCTTCCTTTGCTCAGGGAGCTTTCCAAAGCATGGGCTTCTGGGCAGCCAGCAAGCAACACGCTTCACAGTTTCCTAAGGCACACGCGATACGTGGAAGGCACAGACTGTGAATCAGTAACATGGGAATTAACTCCAAGGACATCCAGTTGTTTTGCAAGAAACAGACAAGACAGGCAAAACTCAGCATCTCTTAGTATTATGAGTACACATTGCGTATCCCCCATCTGAAGTGCTGGGGACCAGAACTATTTCAGACTTCGGGTTTTTTTCAGATTTGGGAATATGTACATTCCAAATAATAAACCCCAAAGCACACACAAGCATTTCCACTGAGTGTCATTTCGGTACTCGGTGCATTTCCGCATGCAGATTTTCGGATGGGGATGCTGAGCCCGCGTGGTGCAAGTGGAGCATGTGAGCGCGCCCCCTCGCCCGCCGCTCTCTGCATGCACATCCCTTATTCTGTATGGCGGCTGGTTACCAACTTTCTAGTCCTGTCAGGGCTGACTCGGCTGCTTCAGGAGGGACAGGAGCACCCGCAGGTGAAGGCGGACAGCAGCAAGGGAAAGAACCGTCACAAAGGACATGCCCCGACTCTCCTCTCTGTCTCAGAAAACTCAGAGGCAGGTTTTCTGTGCTGGTCCCATGAGCAGGGACAAGGACTGACATGGACTAAACAGGCTCCTCCAGGAGCAAGAACCCCTCCATCCACATCTACTGTAAATGGCGAATGTGTGGGCTGGTGAACAACGAGCAAAGAGAACTTCTTCATAATTCTTAAATGTAGACTTCTACCAATCAAGGTCCCCTTCTGCAAACTTTGAAATTTACCTTTTCTTCTGCTGTGACATCAGCCATCTTGGGAAGCGGTGCTGGAGCACGCTTTTTTATCAATAATAGGACATCTAGAAAAAAACAACATGCATATCCATCACACTGGTTACTGTTTCACAGCCACAGGATACCATAAAGGGTGCTGGATGCCCTGAGAACAGAAAGCACGTGTTTCGGCCAGGCGCAGCGGCTCCTGTCTATAATCCCCACACTTTGAGGCCGAGGTGGGCAAATCATCTGAGGTCACGAGTTCAAGACCAGCCTGGCCAACATGGTGAAACCCCGTCTAAAATACTAAAATCAACTAGGCACGGTGGCGCACACCTGTAAGCCCAGCTGCTCAGGAGGCAGAGGCAGGAGAATCACTCGAACCTCAGTGGCAGAGGTTGCAGTGAGCTGGGGTCACGCCACTGCACTCCAGCCTGGGCAACAGAGCAAGACTTTGTCTTTAAAAAAAAAAAAAAAAAAAAAAAAGAAGAAGAGCAGGAGTTCAGCCGGGTGCAGTGGCTCACTCCTGTACCCCAGCACTCTGAGAGGATGAGGCAGGCGGATCACTTGAGCCCAGGAGTTCAAGGCCAGCCTGGACAACACGGCAAGACCCCGTCTCTATGAAAGTGCACAAAATAGTTGCACATGGTGGCACGTGCCTGTCGTCCCAGCTACTTGGGAGACTGAGGTGGGAGGACTGCTTGAGCCCAGGAGGTCGAGGCAGCAGTGAGCCTGACTGTGCCTCTGTACTCCAGCCTGGGCAGCAGTGAGACCCTGTCTCAAAAGAGCAGCGGTTCCTCTGGCCCCCCCCAAACTAAGCATCTACATCAGCCGTCCCTCACTTTTTCATGGTGTCTGCATGACCATGACTGAGGTACGAGCTCCCAGGCCTGGCAAGAACCCCCAGGGGACCCATGGCCTGGAAGGCGTGCACAGCATGGCCCCAATAATAGCGCAAAGAATTGACCACAATCCTGCAAAGCACTCTCATTTTAACCGCCTCAGTTCTGAAAAAGTCTGAACCCTCATGAGTCAAAACCTGAGATGCGGCTCACCCTCAGCCCATGGTGGTGGCCGTCCCGTGCTGGCTTTGAGCTTGATGGTCATCTCAATGGATATCTGTTAGCAATACTTTCAGGATTTTCAAAATCGCTTACTTCAAGAAATTCCATAAGTAAAGGCATTATTTGAATGATACACACAAAACTGAGGTTTGCTCTTCGAGAGCCTCCAGACACAAAACCATAGCAATTAAACAGAGGTGTGCGTCTAACACCGCCCTAAGATGCCTGCAACCATCACCACAGCCACGTCCAATTCAAGAGTAACACCTGCAGAGCCCCTGGAGTCTCCAGGCTCTGGCTTTGCTTTGAAACAGAACCAAAAACAGAATTCGCATTTGGCTTCTCAAATGTCTGCTGCATGTTCAATTTCAATTTCTGCTGCTTTTCACGAACATTCGAAAATAGAACTCTTTAATAAAGGAAGAACAGAACGCTTTCAGCAGCTCTTGCTTTGCGCTCCTGTCCAGCTCAGAATACTGACTCCCACGGGCGCAGCACCCACACCCACCTGCGCGCCGCAGCCCTACCTTGATCCTGGATGTTCTCCTCCAGGATGGTCCTGGCATCACTCAGCACCCTCTCTGAGGCAGCGTGGATTAATTTATGATGGGTTACACTTTTGGGATCTTCTAAGCTCCCATGGGCACACTGGGGAAAAACAGATATTTCAAGATAGAAAATCAGTAAATCGTCATTCTAATAACATAGGATCTGGCATCCCAAGCCACACCAGGAATTTACTGGGTTTTCTTAAGAAACTACAGCATGGATGAAATTCAAGAATTCCCGGTAACAGCAGATGCCAAATGACACATGGCAGCGCCAGATCCCGGGGCCACTGGGCTGATCCCCGGCCCCTGGAGTACTCCGGAGGCAAGCTCACAGCTTGACACACCACCCCCTACTGACAATTCGTGGCCACCAGAATTGCTTCCTTTTTCCACAGACACACGAAAGGGCCAGAAAGGCAGCCAGGAAAGAAGGCTGTTCACAGAGAGCACGAAACCGGGGTAAGAAGAGTGCTTAGCATGGCTGCTCTCAGCGTGGCTCCAGCTCACTAAGCAACAGCCATGCTGAGGCCTGGGCGGCTGGAGGGGACTGATGGGCACACAGTCACCAGGGCCCTGGAAACCCTGCAACACCCGGGCAGGGAAGGGGAGGCAACACACGGGCAGCAGTGAGGAGACCCCCTCACACACACCACGGCCACCTCTGACCAGCACTCATGGGTGACCTGGGAAGCCATCTTGACAGCCCCTGACAGCAAACTCCAGGAGAAAGCTGAAGCGGATGGCCATGATCCCTTCCAGCCCTGCCATTACGAAGACCTCACGGCCAGCTGCTGGCAGGTGGACCCCGCTCCTCCCCTCAGCCACGTGGCACCGGACCGCAGGCTTTCTGCTTTCCTTTGGACATGGGTTATGCGTGTCCGCTCACCATTCTGTGAAGACCAGGCAAGCACTGATGGTCCCGTGTGATGAAGAACCGAGGTCAGCACATGTGCCTGCGTGTTCCTGCCCAAGTCCAGAACTCCACAACTCCACCCTATTGTCTGCCTCAGCACCACATGGCCCGACACAGCACACCACACCACACCACACCACGCCACACCACACCAGACCAGACAACAGTGCCCACCCTCGCAACTACGGCGCCTCCCCAGCAGCTGGAAGCCTGGAGTGGGAGGAGTGAGGCTGCACTTTTATGCTTCAGAAAATGCCCACAGTTTCCATAGCCTGGCCTGAAAGCCCTTCGGAACTCAGAGCCTGGGCAGAGGGAAGGCTATTTTCTTGCTCCTACAGATCCCTGAGGTTAGATGGTAGAATTCCTTGAAGATCAGGAAAGGATGAAACCCTCACTGGGCACTTTCTAAACCTGGCAGCGGGCTCAGCCCATGGGTCAGGAGCGTGGCCCAGCCTGGAGAGGGGCCGGGGCACATCCCAGGACAGGCCGTCCTCAGATGTCTCAGGTGGCCGGGCAAAGGCCCTGCTGGCAGCTGCCTTTCCACCTCCCTCTGCTGCCACAGGGGCTCAGAAACACCCAGCACACACAACACAACTGCTTGCTGAAAAGAAAATCTGAGCACGTCACCTCTCAACACAGGCATTTTAGGAGAAACTGAATTTTCTATTACTCTCAAGACAGAAAACAGTTTTGAAGAAGGGATTATGGCATCCTTCAGAGGCTGTCATCCCTTCACACAAAGCTGGCAAGGCCAAGGGGACATGCCGGCGAGCAGCTACTGGCAAGACACGCTCCTGCCATTTACGACAGGGCAGACAGTCCCTTGACTGCCTCTGAATTTGACAATGGTTCTACTCCCTGAAATACTGGGGGTACATGCTAGATCATTTGTCAAGTTCAGAATACAGACTACAGGATGCAATTTTCCAAAATCATTCTCATACTGATTCCTGAAAGAATGCTACGTGTCCCCAGCACCAGCACAACTAAGTCACTCTGTTTCTTTGTTCTCAGCAGAAGCTGGGGTATGGTGGCAAAAGAACCCCAACGCAGGCCGCTGGGGTAGGAGGCTCCCACATCCCACCCCACTACGTCCGGCGCCTCCCCAACACAGGCCGCTGGGGTAGGAGGCTCCCACACCCCCCACCACCACTACGTCCTGCTCCTTCCCGGAAGAATAGTGCCTTCGTTTCTGCTTGTACCCAATGCAATCTGTCATTTGAAGACCCATCTTCATGTGATCTAGGAAATTGAAAATTTAACAGCCATACTAGCAAGTACTGTATTTTATTTTGGCAATTTCATGAAACATTTTTTTTCTTTTGAGACAGGATCTTACTGTCACCCAGGCTGGAGTGCAATGGTGCAATCTCCGCTCATTACAACCTCCCCTTCCCAGGTTCAAGTGATTCTTGTGCCTCAGCCTCCCAAGTAGCTGGGATTACAGGAGCCTGCCAGCACGCCCGGTTAATTTTTGCATTTTTAGGAGAGATGGGGGTTTCGCCTTCTTGGCCAGGCTGGAATTTCACGAATGTTTACAACACACACCAAAAACTCTACTGCACCACAGGTTTAAGTTTCTTACTCATTAGCCACCTGCTGTACAAGGTGGGTTATCTTGCCCCGCTTCTCCACGCCAGGGCAATGGAAGCTAGAGTCCACCACGGTGATCCCAATTTGCACAAAACAGAACAGGGAAAGGTGACAGCAAGAGTTGTTATCATAAACCCTCCTTTCAGCAGGCACAGCCGTGAGCACAGGGGTGGGAGCCGATGCCATCCCCCTCCAGGCAGAGAGGAGAGAGGAGGGACAAAATCACGAGGGCATCAGCACGCATTGAGGAGGAACGCAGCTGAGACAGACACCAGGCCTCCCTGCCTGCAGCAGGATGACATCCAGGGACCGGCTTCCAGAGAGACATTCAAAGACAACTTGAGGACCTGCCTTTCTGACTACTGCATTCTGGCCCTGCCTGCAGGACATGCTGCGATGTGGCGATGGGGAGCCTTTCTGATGCTCAGCTCTGGAGTCCTGTAGTTCGTTGGCTCTTGTGGTGTGAAAATCCTCCACACCTGTGGAGACTGCAGAGTGGAATACAATCTCAATTTAAAGCAGGATCATAACAAAAAACCCCAAATGGAACATCTCAACAATACCAGGGACCGACAGTGAGCATCATCACGGAACTGGCTGCCTCACTGGCCCCAGTGCTCAGGAGTATCTGTGGATCAAACAGTTGTCATTTCCCATTTCCTTTCATAAAAGAATGTCACGATGGCCATGTACGTTGTACCTTCAGTGAGTTAGGCAAATGCCACACCAACGCGGGCGACATCCCACGTCCACGCAGTGTGGGTCAGCAGGATATTTTTGCCTATTCCACTAACCCACAGTTTGTTCTGGGGCTACTCTGAGCCTGGTCCTGGACTTGCGGATATCAGCCAAGCCTGCGAGGAGCTTCTGGACTGGCCTCAGGGAGGACACAGCACCTCAGGGAAGATTTTTAAAAACACATGTGCTAGACAAGCAACAACGCCTGGTCCAACAGCCTGGATGCCCATGGAGGTCCCGGCGCTTGACCTTAGTGCTGTCCCAAAGGAAAACCACACAGACTGGGCCCGAAGAAAAACAAGAATGCAGCCAAAACACACCTGCCCTTGAGCCTGGGAGGCTCAGCCGCTCCTCGGTGTGAACCCTGAGACCAACACCTCCCAGTTGCTCACAGCCACCGTTCCAGAAGGGGGCTTGCCAAGCCTGTCTCCAACAGTTCCAGAACCCCACAGAACCACGCTCACCAAAGCAACGCGAAAGTCCTCCATGTGAGCGGTTGCCATGGTAAGAAGTGAAGCTTATCCTGAGAGGCCACACTTAGCTAACGTCTAAGGCAGCCAATCTGTCAACGCATAGATATGCAGCTTATCGCACGGAGCCGCTGCTAGAAACCTGCCCCCTCCTTCAACCTAAATTCTGCCAACCCTCAGATCATGTCAAGTAGAGATAGGATGTCAGTCTGACACACGGACAGGCTTCTTAGCTGACCTTAGTCCTTTAGAGACTCGAGAACTAGTTCCCAAAATCAGCAACCTAAGGAACTAAATACACAGGGTAGTTCAGGTGAATCAACTCTAAGAAGTGTCTCAGCGAGGACACCCTTTTCCTGGACCTTCCCTCTTGACCAATGTTACCTCTGCAGAAAAGCAGGGGCGCAGAGCCTTGTCCTGCAGCGGCACTATTTCAATGACTCCAGCTAAGGGGCACAGAGGCCGCAGTCAAGGCCGGCTGCGCCAGCCAGGAAAAGCGCTCCAAGCAGCCGGCTCTGCGGGAAAGGGGAAGAGGAGAAGAGAAGGGACCTCTTAATGAAGGGGCCTGCGTTGACTCTCAGCGCTCAGAGGAGCTGCTGAAAAAAACTCACCCCAACAGCAAAAAGGCACAACGGCTGGAAAATCCTGAAGCCCTGCTCCCATCGGCGACTTCACTCTCCAGGCCTCAGTTTCCCCATCTGCCCCTACCTCCCTGCAGAGCTACAGAGTTAACCGAGAGGCTGGCGTGCAGAGGGCTCGGCCGGGCGGCTGGCACCGGGGACAAGCGTCCAGAGGTGTGGGATCCGTAAGGGGGAGAGCTGGGCGAACGGGCAGGAAGCGCTGCCTCCACCCCCGGAGAAGAGGGCCTGGGAGCTGCGGCCGGGCGGCGGACCCCGGGTCGGGAACTGGGGTGGGGTCCGCAGTCTGGGGGTCCGGGGCGGGTCCCGGCCCGGCGCGGCCTTACGTGCTTCAGGCAGCGCTCCTTGAGCTTCTCCACCGAGGTGTCCTCGGTGGCCTCCTCCTGCCACTCGGCGCCGTCGGCCGCGCAGATGTGCAGCCGCAGCACCTTGCCCGCGAAGATCTTCTCCTCCTGCACGAACATCGCGCCGCCGCCGCCGCAGGGGCCTGAGGCCGCCACCTGAGCCCCTGAAGGTCACCGGGCGGGAGGGCGGGGCGGGGGCGGAGCCAGGCCGCCCGCGCGCTCCTTCGCTGGGCCGCCACCGCCCCGCCCTGGCTCCCGTCGGCCGGGCCGCCGTCACTCGCCTCGGTCCCAGCGGTCGCCTCGCTCCCGCCGCCGCAGCCACCGGGGGCGCGCTGTCGCCGCCGCACCGGATGTGCGTCACGGGCGCGCGCCTGGCGCATGCCGGGAGCTGTGGTTCTCTGGCAAGCGCCTCGCTCGCTCCGCTGGGGGCGCGCTGTGGCCGCTACAAAGAAAGTGCGTCACGGGGCGTGCCCGGCCCATGCCGGGAGTTGTAGTTCTCTGGCCGCCTGGTTTCTCCCGCACCTGCAGGCGCTTCCCACCTGGGGCGCTAACCACGTGGGACCGCAGGGACTCTAAAGGTAAAATACACCCTAGATCCCAAAGAAGTAAAGGTGAAAAAGAATGTAAGACATCTCGATAATGTTTTCATATTGATTACATGTCGAAATAATATTTTGGATCTATTAAGTAAAAATGTCATTAAAATTAATTTTACCTGTTTCTTTTAACCTATTTAAGACGGAAAGTTTTAAATTGCCTACGTGGCTGCTGTGATGTTTCTTTTGGACTCCACTGCTGTAGAAAGGAGGCTTCCAAAGAACTTGGCTTTAACAAGCCTAGGTCTGTCTGATACACACGCAGGTCAGAGAGCCACTGTTCCCGCGAAGCCTAGGTTTTCGGAGCACCCAAAGGGGAGGAAAGCCACTCTGTAGTGCAGGTTGTACCAGGCGAGCTCATTTTCTGTGGAGTGTAACAAGGAGTCTTTGCTTGGTGAAACTTAGGCAGAACCTTCTAGACCATCTGCGCACTTCCTTGTAAAATCCAGTTTTAGCAAAGAGCCTTGATAAATGAGTTTATCAACAACCTCGATGTCTGATCAGGTTCCTCGTCCTCCACCGTCTCCCCGGTGCTGTTTGATCACTCCAGCCTCTCAGCAAGAACCCTGTCAGGTCAGTTTAGCCAGCACCACCCTCACCCCTGATGTTTTCTCCTATTAATTTTTCATTCACTGACCCCTCCCTGCTCCTTGGCTATACATTTCCACTTGCCCTTGTGGTATTTGGAGTTGAGCCTGATCTCTGTCCCCCCTGCACCCCCCACCCCATGGCTGTGATCTCAGTACCTACCTCAACAGTCCCCAGTAGCATATCTTTCTTACCATGTTCCTAAATATGAATTTTTCAGTTCAGGTTAGACGTCGAGCATTGACTGATCTGTACTCATTCACCCCATTCGTTTAGAAAACCTTTACTTCGCAGAGACGAATAAGGCACGGTTCCCATTCTCAGAGGTCAGCAGTCTAACTGCAGAGGCATCTCTGACCCTCGACTGCAGGCTTCTATTCTCTCCACGCCATTTTGCACACATGTCCTCGTTTTCCTCCTGTGATAATTCCAGCCTTGTCCAGATTCCATGTGTCCAGCTCAGAACTTACTAATTGCCTGCCATGAGTGGGAGCCTCTGCTACTCAGTGAAAATATGGTAGTGATTAAGATCAGAGACCAGGATACAGTCCTAGAATGGGGCATTTTTAACACAGGAAGCAGAGACCCTGGTGGAGGTGGTGGTAGTATCATGGAAGCTGGTGGAGGGGGAGGGGAAGGAACACCAATGTGGAGAGAGGAGAGTAGGGGAAGCCAGAGGGCTTGGAGAGCCAGGTCAGAGCATTCGAACTTTGCTGTGAGAGCCACAGAAGGGGTGACCAGGTGGCAGAAGGAACGGTGGTGACTGTGGAGGGGACAGGGAAAAGGGCAGGGTGTCCTTCCAGGGGAGCGATGGGGAACAAGGGGAAGAGGACAAGGGGCTTCCAATAGCCTGTGGGAGGGGAGGCCAGCAGAATTGGAGGGTGTAGACACAAGATTGAAATCAAGGATGACTTGAAGACTTCCAGCGTGGGTGGCAGAGGGCAGGGCAATGCCACCCTTTCAAGTAGGAGGCAGGAGGAGGAGGAGCCACTGGCCAGGAAGGTGTTGAGCAGCTTGGACTCAGGGTTGGATGTGGCAGGGGCATTCATGTGGAGGGGGCATTCATGTGGAGGTGGCATGCTGGACCTACAGGACTGAAGTTCAGGAGAGAGGCCTGGGCTGGAGACAAAGATGGGGCAGTCGACCTGGCCCACATAGCGAGTCCCTCTACAAAAAGTAAAAAATAAATTAGCTGAGTGTGGTAGTACACACCTGTGGTCCCAGCTACTCAGAAGGCCAAGGTAGGAGGATCACCTGAGCCCAGGAGGACCAGGCTGCACTCCTGCCTCGGCAGCAGAACAAGGCCCTGTCTCAAAACAGCAAAACAAACACAAAAAGACTGGCCAGTCATGAGCACATCAGTGGCAGATGGAACTAAGGGGCTGCCCAACCCCCTTTACATGCAGAGGAGCCCATGAAGAAAACAGAAAAACATGGTCCTAGGGTAGTTCCAAAGTGTGGCTGTCAAACCCAAGCGGGGGAAGATATTGAGGAGAAAATGGGGCCCATGAGAGAAGACCCAGAAATATCGTGTCACCTCAGTGAGCGTCTCCAGGGACCAGAAAGGGGCTGGGGCTCAAGCCTGCCTGGCTGCAGATCTGGTTTCTGCCTGGCTGAGGATCTGGTGCCTGCCTGGCTATGGATCTGGTTTCTGCCTGGCTGAGGATCTGGTACCTGCCTGGCTATGGATCTGGTTTCTGCCTGGCTGAGGATCTGGTACCTGCCTGGCTATGGATCTGGTTTCTGCCTGGCTGAGGATCTGGTTTCTGCCTGGCTGCAAATCTGGTTTCTGCCAGCCTAGGATCTGGTTTCTGCCTGGCTGAGGATCTGGTTTCTGCCTGGCTGTGGATCTGGTTTCTGCCTGGCTGAGGATCTGGTCCCTGCCTGGCTGAGGATCTGGTGCCTGCCTGGCTATGGATCTGGTTTCTGCCTGGCTGAGGATCTGGTGCCTGCCTGGCTGTAGATCTGGTTTCTGCCTGGCTGAGGATCTGGTGCCTGCCTGGCTGTGGATCTGGTTTCTGCCTGGCTGAGGATCTGGTTTCTGCCTGGCTGAGGATCTGGTCCCTTCCTGGCTGAGGATCTGGTGCCGGCCTGGCTGCAGATCTGGTTTCTGCCTGGCTGTTGATCTGGTTTCTGCCTGGCTGAGAATCTGGGGCCTGCCTGGCTGCGGATCTGGTTTCTGCCTGGCTGAGGATCTGCTATCTGCAGGCAGCAGTGATGCTGCATAACAAAACCACCCTGAAACTCAGCGGTTAAAACAAACAACAACTCTCTGTCACTTCTCACAAGTCCACAGCTGGCTGGGTGGTGCTGCTGACCAGGTAGGCTGGGCCGATCCCAGCTGTGCTCGTGGGGTGCCTGCCCCAGCTCCCCCCTTGCCCCCTTCCCCCCTCCCTTCCTCCTGGGTTTGAGTGAGTTTCATGCCTCAGCCTCCTGGGTAGCTGTGATTACAGGCACCACCCCCACACCCAGCTACTGTTTGTATTTTTAATAGAGATAGGTTTTCCCCATGTTGGCAAGATTGGTCTCGAACTCCTGAGCTCAAGTGATCTGCCCGCCTTGGCCTCCCAAAGTGCTGGGATTTCAGGCATGAGCCACCGCCCCGGCCGCAGTGGCTTTCTGAGTCCCTGTTTCTCTTTCTACAAGGGTTAGGCTTTGATGTGGACGTGGAGACAACACCCAGAGTACCCTCTGAAAGAAGACCTGCTGCCCCCAGCTCTCAGCTTCAGCCTCAGATGCCACCTTTGAGGTCGCAGCCCTCCCTGCACGGCGGAGCTGAGTAGGGTGGAAAGCCCCACCAGCAGGGAGCCCTCCCCGAGTTCCCACCCCCCGGCTGAGAGGGTTCGGCCTCTCCCTCTGCCCAACGCTGCCTCCCTGGCCCGGTCCAACAGGTGTAGTCCCCAAGGCACAGCAGGCACCCCAAACTCCATCTCAGCCTCTGCTTCCGGGCATCTGTCAGGCAGGCCTCCCTCAGTGCATTGCTCCATTGTGTATTTATTTAGTGCCAATGTGTGCTGGGTGCCGCTTTAGGCTCAGAATACAGCAGGAAGAAGGTAGACAAGGTCCCCTTGTGGTGGAGAGTGAGCCCCAAGCTCCCAGGGTAGGGGAGGGGGCCACTTCAGGGTCCCAGGTGAGTTCTAGGAGGCTTGTAGTTGCAGCAACAGACCCCAGCTCTACCCAGTTCAGGCAGAAAAGGAATTCATGGATGGCTTTCTGGAGCACTCTCAGAACTTTCTGTAGCCAGGAAGACCAGGCTGGGCCCCAAAGCCATGCTGCAGAGGGGTCTCCAGGAGAGCCCACCACCATGGCCATGCCAGGCACCCTACCCCAGCCCCAACCACAGCTCCAGGGGTAGGCTGGGTGGCGGCAGGGTCAGCCCTTGGGACTCCCCGCAGGTCTCAGGAAGGGGCAGGCCAGGTGCGT